ATGATATTTTCACTAGTGAAAATAACAACTATTCGAAGGAGAAAAATAAAGGTATTTTCAGATAATTTTGTATGATATAGAGGATATTACATGGCGTGCGGAGATACGGATTTTATCTTCGAGTGAAAATATCTCGAGAAGATAAAACAACACGTGAAGACAAAATTTGAATCTGCAGGCGACCATGTAATATTCTGTTTATCGTATAAACATACATGGAAGCAAATTATTTTTACTTTTATTTACCTCCAATATATAAAGATACCACGAATGTGTTATTTTCACTAGTGAAAATARCAACTTTACGTAATGGAGAAATATAGTTATTTTATAGATAACTAGACGATCGCAGATCGCTTACATGGGCTTCCTCCACAAGACGATGTATTCGAAGATCGAAATATATTGCTACTCGCTCTGTCGATGTTCACAAATAGTTTTTGTGGTTCCAGATCGAGAGTGACTATAACGGCTTTTAAATTTCAATAATTACTTCAATGAAAAGCAATTACGTATAACATTATCATTGTATGTCAAGTCTAAAAGCAATGTATTTAAGTAATGCCCCGAGTAAGAACTAGRGAAGCAAACRGCAAAGGMATGCAAGAAGGTGCTAATTGTGCATTGTATAATCCATCCATCCCATTGGTTGGAACATGAAAATCTGCTATAATTTCACAAGTTAGCGAATATTTTATTTAATGTCTGTTTCGCTTTCATGAAAGCTTTCTTTAGCTTCAATATTAAGGCAATTCTATGTGGGGAACATTGCAAATTAGAAGCATCKTTTGGCTATTGTTTTGAGAGCTTATGATTGGATAAGAGCTTTTAATACAAAATAAACTTTGTTTCAAAATAGAGTTATCCACATTTTATTTCAAAAATGTGTTACCCACAGGTTAATACATAATCAGTGTGAAAACCAAGACATTCGTACATGGGGAACTTSCTATGCCGCAGAACAATAGAGAGTTCCCTAGTTCTTTAGCGCATTGTTACTTGATATACAGATATCTGCTTACGCAAAATAATAAAGCGAGCTGTTCCAGAGTTCTCACAAAATTCAAAGCTAATTGTTATAAACTAAGTCCAACATTGTTTTATGAGTACACATTAGTTACTTAGGGTTTCTATGATTTCTTCATTCATTCTAACCCTAGTTACAGCTTATTAGCTTAATATTAGGTTGAGCATATTTACGAAACTCCAGCGTTCCAGTAGGCTTTCAGATAAGCTRAGCTGACAAGACAGTGAGATTGCAAGACGAAATTATCGTTTATCCAGCGTTATACGGCTTGAATTGCTTCATTTTATTTGTAAACACTCCTTCCTTTGCTTACTTGAGTGGTCTTCCACGGGAAGCCCATGTAATTATATAATTAAAACTTATTTTCTATAGAGATGYTTACTTATGAATATAATTCTTGTTTGGTAAATGGCAGCACTAATAATGTCAGTAATAACTTTCTGTTATTTCAAGTGTATTTTAGGGTATAGGTGTTTTCGAGTATTCTGGTTGAGTAACAGGGTCGTAACAAAGTCATAATTTTATAATCTTTTTGCCGACTTCTAATATAATAAAGACTTCAAATTTTTAATTCGAATCAGAAAGTGAACCTTTCATTGGTTTTGTCGAGGTGTTGTTTTGACGCAGTATAGAGCTGATTATGTATCACGAATACCTTCGATTTAAACCAATATTATTACCACCAATCAGCATTCATCAGGTTAAGTGGTAAATAGAAATTTTGTCCAGATTAGAATCTTTGTTTCCTACTGCTCATTTACTCGAGCTACCTAAGTGTGTGGACTCTAGACACAGCGCCGTTTATTTTCATAGGTTTCCACATTGCATGTACAGCRGCGGTCTGAAAGTGATCGAAAATAGGACACAGAGTCCCCAGAATGCTAAGTGTCCGTCACAGAGTGTGTGATATAAGCAGCATAGAGCCGACGATCATGGACGATCTGGTAAAGCAGGTGTGAATTTATCATCTATACTGATCGATTCGATTTCTCCAGTTTTATTGTGAACCTTCTCTATCTTTGTCTTAACCATACTTAAGTCAATTCCTTGAGAACTAAGAATCCATCCTTTTGCATTGCTAAAGCCTGAAAACAGACTTGAAATGTCACAAATTATCTTTAAAAGGTTTCTATATGATTCAATTTCATCGCGTTGCATCAGTGAGTGACAATCCGGCTTTGCTGTGTTTCTTTTCTGATTATTATATATGTTTTTGCCAATATAGGCAGCTWGTTTTACTACAAGTCGGTCTAATGATCTCATTGAGATTGTATCTGATATAATAGTGTTGATGTCATCTGCATATCAGTCATGGAGACACCAAGGTACGTGAGCGTCTTGGTAATTAAGATAAGTTWACAAAAACTAACGTCCGTTAATGGCTTTCATTAGTCAAGAACCATGATAAAAAGAAAGGGGGATTGAATTTCAGGGGGAGTGTTGATTCAATAACTGATTGATAGTTTRCTGAATATCCATCTTGAGTTCATTATGATGAGCGAGGTTTGGGTCCCAGCGTCAAATCGAATGGATGAATTTTCTTCGTTCGTACTTCCACTGTTTTATATGGCACTCTTTTCAACTWCAGCCTCGTTACAAAATCGAAGGGACTAGTTTCCGATGACATTTTTTCAGCCTCGTTATCGTCATTAGTTAAAAACACATTATATTAACGAGAGTTTGTTTTGAGGGTCGTTTGGCTGGAATTTCTTTTCATCAGTGCAGGGACAATTACTGGATTGATACCRGACTTTWGAGACAAATAAAAGTAAAGTAAATTTTGTAAACATGAAATGACKTGCGTCCGGAAATTAAAYAAGGTTGTTTGTGARCTTAATTTGTAAACCTAGACCATAATCAASAGTGGTGCGTTTTCGTAGTATTTTTGAAGTATTTTGATTTTTGTTGAAGACCGASCACAGTAGAACTMTATATAGTGACGTCACCAGCATCGGCGAATATCTGCTAYGAGTAATCATAATTCCTTTGTCGTGAGAAAACTATTTAAATGATTTTGTAAGCAATGAATGACATACGTTTTTATTGATAAGATTCACTATAACAATGGGCGTAGTTGACATGTGCCGTGTGTGTGTTTTCTTTTTTGAGAGATCACACACTTTGTAAGATAATTTTCTAAAGTACAATGATCTGGTTATTTTGTTTCAAGCTGCATCATTTATTCTTTACAGGGTAATTAAGGTATTATCTAGTCCCATGCATAGCCATGGTGCATTATGAAAACTTGCGATAATGAAAAACGGCCAATATACCTGTATAAAGCCATTGATGCTTCACTGTTTTCATGCGGTTTCGTCAATTATAGCTCAACGTAAAGCTCGTTTTTTACAAAGTAAGATTCAAGCTTGAGATGTAAGATCAGGATTATATGTTGATATAATCAGGTTGAAGCGCGTATTWGATTGAATTGACTTCTTATCTTAAAGACATCTACCGCTAAGCTTTATCCTGACCAATCGTTCACTCAGATAACGTGATTCCGGAATAGTTTGCACACGCAAGCCAGCAAGAACGCGGTCTGTTGACATTGCGTACDGCATGAGGACACGAATCGGTAAGACATAGTTTTATTAGCTGTTCCGATTATTGTAACTGATCATCTTAATAATGATGTTTAACTGAACGTTGATTGAGAGCACTGTTTTTTTATATATATTACATCTTTGAAAATCACTTTTCATTACATTACCTATAACACTCCTTATAAACTTCCTTAATAAAGTCATTAATTTTGTCTTCAAGACATGTTTTGATATATAAACCTTGTCAGTTCAACAGAATGCATTCATGGCCAATATAGTCAATATAGACCAATAGAATGGGTCAACACGCAGGCTTTGTACCAGTATCCTTTAATATGTTTTTAATGTATCACGTTAGCCCACCGCCGTGACATAGCTTGGCTTTTGAAACCAATTTGTTTAAAACGGAGGATACCACTAGTTGGTAAACTGAACTGAAAAAAGCCAATTTAAACAAGTCAGGGCGGTGATCAACCATAATGTTTAAATTTAGAGAAAAAGATCATTACGACGTCATTACAAGTTTGAGTGTACTGACCAGACTTTGTTTCAAACATGATTAATTTATTCATAGAGCTGTTTTGAGAGCTTGAAACAATACAATACAAAATCCAAAACTATGAAGCACATTTATACAGACGACCTAAGAAATTCTAATATCTCGCTCTAATGACAGTAATCAGTTCCAAAATAGCAGCAATGAGTATATTCTTGGTGTATTTGGTGAAATGCCTTATCCATGAGAGTATTAAAGAAATGCTACAAAAGAGCATCAAAAGCGGGCTTCTTCTGGTCCACTGTCAGTTGACGGACTCCTGTAATTATAATGTGAAATGGGATTATATTTAATTTCAAAGATGTTTTGTTTAAATAAAATGTCAAAATTATCAACGAGCTCATTGCCTAAGASCGACAGGAAGGCCGTTCCCTATAGTTGGGTGCGTCAGTGTGTTATAAAACCGCTGTGATGAACGAAAATACCGTAAAAKATTGACAGGCATATGATGATAAACCATAGAACCTATGAGTCATGAAACAAATCAACTGAATTATTATGTTATAATCTCATTGAAAACTAAATTGGATTGTGATTGGTTTGTTCTTGATTGACCAGGCATCTTTTTTAAGGACATGTGCATTGGAACCAGAAAGGTCTAAAAGAATGTGTTTTTGAATCAATTACTTTATTGTTATTTTTCACCTAGTGCATTATTATTATTCATGGCTTTATTTCGATATCATTTGACACCACTGCATCTGATATGCATAAAATAAAGATGATATCCTGTCCTATCGTGCCCTTTCTTTCTTGTAAACTATTAATTTCCACTGCTACTACTTCAAACACCAATCAAATAATGTTGACTTTTATAGTGTAGATGATATCCTGTGCTACAGCGCCTTCCWCATCACATTGTTTACTAATTCTTCTATTTTACGCATAAATCAACCGATGGTTAAAGATGCGGCTTTTCATAATTAAATTTGCTTTATTTCTAGATCAACATTGACGCGTGAAGAAAAATAATATTACAAGATTTTGGAAATCAAGGGAACTGGGGAAACTGCAGCGGGTAAGCTATATACTGTTGTCTTGTATTCTTTTTTTGAAGATTAAGTCATAATTATTTTGTTTTGTTTTGATAATCTCTGACTCATGGACGACTGTTTAAAGTAGTTTTCTAAGAGAAGTTGACTTGAAAATTAAATTCATGGCTTCTTCTAAACGTGGCACTCAAGTAGTTCATCGCTAAAGTCATTTCAAAATAGACCGAAAATAGTCTGCAAAACAAATTATCACCGAATCGTTTGTAGTCAGACATTTTTAGTTAGAAACTTAGAAAAATAATAACAATGCGACCAAAGAAATAAGAGAAAATTTACTTTAAAGTTTAGTAATAAGTTATTGATTGAGCTTTTCCACAAAAAAAGACATGGGTAAACGAATCTAACCAGTCCTATATCTTAACAGTGGAATGGATGTAATATAAAGCTACAAGTAGAGAGGAAAATAAAATAGATTCAACGATGTACTAATCATGTATAGACGTCGCAGTTCATTTAAACAAAAGAAATATGAAGCTTTTCTTTCTTTTTCATTTCAATTTTGACTTGATATCGTTCATTTTTTTGCCTGGGGACAGAAAACCCTCTACCACTGTCGATCCTGCTGGTATATTTACCAGGTTTCCACAGGTAGTGTGTATATATTTCAACGGTACGACTACCTTGAAAAATTGTCATTTCAAAAAAGAGTCAATTTCTAATCAAAGAAAAAGGAAACGCTATTCAATAATATGCTGACTGAGAAAGGTTGTATTAAAGAATATGTAATATCACCATACCGCTAGGGAAATTGGTTCTTGAAAAGTCGTCAATTGCTTCCCTCGCCTATTTACATGCATTTGTCAATAAACACTGACATATCAATCATCATGAGATGGATTTGACAGCCAAATAGCACCGATAGAGTTTTCACCTTTTTTCATTCGATTAAAAATTAAAAAGTAAAAATGATTTGTGTTTCGTTGTTAGTAGCCAGRTTTCGTCTGTATACAAGTYTCGTCAGTCAAACTGTTTCTTTGTGCTTCCCACTATCCTATTTGTTATGTATATTTCAGTTCGAATTTCGACAGTCCACGTAGTGCTCCTATCCATGTCATCATATTTTGTTTAACCGCTGACCTTCTAACACGTTATTGATAATACCGATAGGTCTTTTTTGTTTCTTTTTTGTTTGTTGTTGTTGTTGTTGTTGTTGTTGTTGTTGTTGTTGTAGTTGTTGTTGTTGTTGCTGTTGTTGTTGCTGTTTTGTCTTTTTCGCGAGCCCTGTATGCAGGTGCTGAAAGTCTCAGCGAGTGAAAGTGCCGCGGGTTCAGAATCGAGAAACCTTCAAAGTAAAGGTTTCAGAAATACCAATGAAGTATATTTATATCGCATTGAATATCAAATCACGCTTTGGTCTCCATAATTTTCATAAATGTATGTGTTTATGTTTCTTTCTATTTGAGATACTCTTCATTGTGTTGACTCTCTCACGGTTAACGTTTTTGGACAGTWAAAAAGCCAGCGATTAGAATTGAGCGACGACTAAACGGCACTTGTAAATGACGTTCAAACCTTTTTAGACCATGCCAAGGATTGGTGTTTAACTGTTTATTTAGCTCAAATTAAACATTTTTTCTTWAGTACCGTTATCACGTGATCTTAGGGTTTCCAGATGTAAGGTACCATATCTTAACTATACTACTGCGTTGAGTAATTAGAAAAAAAGAGTGACGCATACCGAACATTGTAAGATGCAGAAGTGATTGGAGAAGTTTTGATGTTTAAATGCCCGAGGCAGCAATAAATTGCATTAAACAGTTTTTACGGTTTGTATCAGATTTAGCATAATTTACATATAGTTCATGCTGTTATTGATAGTACCCTAGTCTCATTCACTCATTGCTAATCAATTATTCATCGACCATTCATTCACGATCATTCCGTTCACGCGACCATTCGTTCTTCCGATTCCCTCCGATCATTTCTAATAGAAGTTTTCAGCTGAGCAATTAATTACTGTCGATATGTCGAAAGAYGACAAGTTCTATTCATTTTAGACTATTTCGAGTCTTTATTAAATAAACACTGTTCATGTTTCGTTGACATGTTATGCTACATTGCCAGTCGATCTATAAGCCAGGAAATGGATTATGCATCTATAGTAATAGTATCAAGCCATGCCACTAGAGATTGTCTTTTAGGTTTTAAGGGCTATTTATAGTATTTCTTTTTCTTTTTCTTTCCCGTTCACTTGATATCTTTGATTTTGTCTTTTCACATTTTTTTAGCTGCATATTCTTTTAATTTCCTTTCTTAGTCTTTGTATTTCCGCTTGATTTTTTTACGGATAATATGTTTTTTTTTCATACATAGTTTATTTTCATAATCTCCGGAAGTTTACAATAAGACCGAGAAACATCACAGTAAAAAAAGAATACGTACAATTGATATCCGTGCTTTCTTTATGAACTAGACTATAATATAGCTAGGTGAGGAAACCTTATAGCGTGTATGTACATGTTCAGTCCATGAGTGCAAGCCGACAAGATGAAACAGGTTCTTTGTACAGCTTGTTGTCCAGTAAAGCGGGTAAGACGGTTTTCCTTATCGATTTTGTGTATGTCATGTTTTGCTATAAATGATGGTTTGCTTTATATATCAGAAATATTCTCATAAAATATTCCTGAAAGATAGAATGTAAGCCCGCACACTGCATGTATTCAATGAGAGGCATGTTTGTAACACCRTCGCATCGAGTACATTGACAAGAGTTTTGTTCGAAAACAATCTTGTTTTAGCACTTCGACATTTTGTTTTTCTATTTTCTCAAGAGATATGACCTGGTGAGCTAGTGTTAATTCTGTCAATTGCATGATGGTCGTAATGTGCCCACGGGAATATACCCACATGCACGAGACATAAAGCGGATATGACTGTGCAAAAAAACACGGATTTTCGTGCTCTTACCTTAGCGTGCCGTAGGTAGCGGTGATGTATTGTTTAAATCTTTATTTTCATTTGGAATCCTAGAAGTTGAGGTTTCGTGACCGTGCCGTGTCCGTATTGTGATCCGTACCGTTGCACAGTCATACGAAATCCGCTCTATTCAACCAAAGCGTTGCTGGAAATCGCCCTTTCGCATTTGGCCAGAGCGTTGGAAATCGCCATTTCGCATATTAACCAGAGCGTTGGAAATCGCCATTTCGCATATTAACCAGAGCGTTGGAAATCGCCTTTCATTCGCATTTTAATTTTCCAACAAACAGACAGCTTTGTAAATAAACCCATTTTCTTGTTAAAAAAATTATGTAATAAACTTGAATTTCTTGTGATTGCCACTAACACTTGTCTTGCCCTCTGACATTCGGTGTCTTGTGATAATGTGAGCAGCATAAAAAAATGCGTTTATAATATATATATATGTAAAAGTTTAACAATAATAAAATGTACAGCTTTTATCAATGGCAGTAACTATTTTATTCGTGAATTTAAGAACTTTTTTTCCGATTACTTAGTATAGTATAGTGCAGTATTTTCGTACTCACTGTCGGCTAAATTTCTATTAATTCGATGTTTGTCAGGCGTCTGAGGACTATTTGCTCTGTTCTATTCACTAAATCGCTTATGTTCCTGATGAAATGAAAAAGATAATGTCACACTGACATGCCTGGCAATCTTGAAAAACTGTATAACTGTCTCAGTCTTTTGTAATATTTTGTTTCCTGTTTTGTTTCGTCTCTGGTTTTTAGTATTGTCAGTCTTGAGTATACTGTGTATACTATGTAAGGAAGTCTGGTAGGGAACTATTTGAATAGAGTATCATTTCCACACTGAACGTGACTAATTGACACAACTCAGTTTGCTTTTAAAGCAATCTTCTTTAAGTTGCTTTATGTGAAGGTCACGTTCGCTTTTAACGTCTATTTCGAACATGACTTTCAAAAACGATAACGCACAACATATTGATTGGTCTTGATTGTTAAAGAGTTACATACTTTTCAGACGGACGTCATCACGATGAGTTAACGCAGTGAGTTTCTATGGTAACGAATAAGATGTGCATGCGTCCTCTTCAAACTCTGATTCAGTGATGATTAAAATCATACGGTAACAAAGTAAAAAAGATTTTTCGTAATGCACATTTAAAATTAGTTTTCTATAATAAATACCTATTTCAAATAATGTCTGCAACAACCAGGTCTCTAAGCTAATTAAGTGTTGAATCATCTGCAGTAACTATAATCATTCCTCTTTAATAAATTTATTGTTGTATAACTTATTATAGTCGACTTATAAACCACTGGAGTTGTGAGAATTTCATGAATTGAAGAAAAGAATCTTGAAAATGCCTTTTTTTAATTCTTTATTAAGAAAGCGAAGACATTAGGGATTAACATTATTTAAACACCTTTTCGCCARTCACGTGATCACCTTTCCTCCCAATCAGTGAGCGAGTGCCTGGAGGGCTTTGCGTATTTCACTAGTGTACGGCATTAGTAGATAAAACATATTTCTTCGTCGTGTGATCATTTCAGCAAAGTCAGGGAAGCTGACATTTCAGGAAAAAAAGCTTAAAGGTAGGAGCTGTTAGAAAAGCTTGAAAATATCTTTGTGATCACTAAGCTTTGGRTTTACCATCATGCTGCGCGTCCTCCCAATAGGTTGTAGCTGTTTCTCTATCAGGTTTATGTCCATCTACTCTGGTCTTCAAGATAGACGACATCTTCGCCCAAAAAAGAGCTCGTAGTTAGTTGCAATTACTAATTACTGGCAAAGAAAATATCATGATCATAGTTTTTCGTTAGAAATGATAATTTATCCTTTCCATTTTTGGTAGGTATTCTTACCTTTTTTTTCTCGTTAGTCTAAAATTTCCTCAGGTAAATTTAATGCATGTCTTGAAAGTGCAGGTTTAATTGTTGATTGTGATTTATTGTTCCATGGTTTATCGGAATCAGTTTGTAGGATCAGATCGTATATTGCGCAATTTCGCCTGTACTATAATTATATRTAATATATTTCCGTT